GATGCCGGCCGGAAAGCCGGCTGCTGCTACGCCCCGAAGCTCTTCAGGAACCCTCGAGGAGGTCTTTAATCCACAGGCAATCCCTGATCTCCTCCAGGCAGAGAGAGGCTTTTACCTCAGCCTTTCCAGCAAAAACAGAAGGTGCAGAGATGGAGCAAGCGAGCTGGGGATGACACGATGGAACAAGCAAGCCGGGGACACAGTGATGGAGCAATCAAGATGGGGATGCAGTGATGGAGAAAGAAAGATGGGGATGCAATGATGGAGCAAGTAAGCCAGGGAGAATGGAAGGCGAAGTCCCTTGGGCTCAGGACTTTAGTCCAGCCTGGGATATAAAAAGGTTTGTGCCATAGAAAGCACCAGCAAAAGCTGAGCCATGGCAAAGCTCCTGGTGCAAGTGTGGGATGAGCTTCTCGTAGGCTTGGCACACGTCCCCCCCGAGCCTGGCCCCATCCTGTCCTTCTTCCCAGCCCTGGTGCCTGGGAGCTGCCTCTCCTTGTGCTGTCCAGTTGATTGTCCTGGCTCAGAGCCGGGGTATGAGGAAGGATCCGGTCCTGTGGCAGGGGACCCAGCATCAGTGGTCATGCACCCAGCGCCAGCCGGCTCACCCAACAGCCAGCATGTGAAATTGGGTGGGGGCTGAGCCGACCCCTGTGCGGTTTTGGCCCTGATAGGTTTACGACATGGAACACACGTTCTTCAGCCACGGCGAGAAGAAGAAGATTGTGATGGAGATTGACCCGCTGGCCAGGACAGAGACCTTCAGGAGCGGGAATGGCAGCGAGGAAATCCTGGAGATCCATGACTTCAAAAATGTGAGTGTGGCAGGGTTTGTCCCCGGGACCCTGCCTGCGGTCTTGCAGCAGGACTGATGGGATCCCTTAGGACACCGTGGAGCTGCTGGAGCAAGCCCCAGGACCATTTGCTTCTGCATCAGGGAAAGCAATGCCCAGATCCAGACTCTCTGGGGATGCTCTCAAAGGAAAGGAGATGTATATCTACATAAGCTTCCACCGGTATTTAAATAATGGCGTGGTTCAGTTCCAACAAAATACATCTTAAAAGCAAGACCTAGTTATTGGATTTACCCTTGCAAAGGAACACAATCATCATAAATCTGTCCAAGACCAGTACATTTGTCTGTCTGGAGAGCGTTAAAACCTCATGACAATGTTGTAGGCTCTCTCTGAAACCCAATTAAAATTTGTAGGTAAATACCCTCTGCAGTGACATATGGCAAAATTTTCAGCTAATAGCCTAGCAGGAACTAGGGGCTGAATGTTCATATAACCATAACGGTCAGATGCTATTCTGCATATTTTTATTTATGATAACTAGAGCTCATGATAGTTATAAGGAGAAGAGGAGTAAAGTAAAATTTTATGTCTATCTGCCTTAAAATATTTGTAAAAAGCCCAATTCTCCCAAACCATAAAATGCAATATCCCTTAGGAGACCCTGTTAGTACATCTTAGCACTGCCGCTGAACAGTTTGCACAAAAACATCAACTTGAAAAATACGACTAAACCCTCATCCAGCTGTACCCTTCATACGATGAGGTTATTTATCCTCCTGCTTTGCCCTGACTGCTTTTTTTGGTGTTTGTTTTGATGCTGTAGGGAATAACTGGCATCTTCTTTGTCGGTCTTCAAAAATGTTTCATCAAAACTCAGACTAAAGTTCTGCCTGAGACGACAGAGGCCAAGATCCCTGAGCTCGAGGTAGGTGAATAAAACAGGACATCCCTCTGGCCCCCATGAAACCCACTCCTCTCCCTGGCACTGGGAGCGTGGCTGCCGTCCCCACCGCCCTCCCATCTGCTCTGGCCTTCCCAGAGATGCTGCAATAAAGAAATAATGAATTGTGATCGCGTCATAAAATGATCTTATTTCAGGGGATTGCTTCTAAAAACAACAAGTGGAAAGAGACAGGATTAGACAGCTGACAGGCAAAAACCGCTTGGCACAATACTGGAGATCAAGAACAATAATCCTGTTGTAGTCTAAAGGTCGCAAGGCAGCTCAGGATTAGCAGGCACCAAAAAGTCAATCAAATTGTTTTCTCCAGGAACTGAGCCTCATGTTCTTAAGCAGAATGAGGGAGAAGTAATGAATTTAAAAGAGCAGCCGCGTTTAAGAAATGCGATTTGAGAAAGCGCTTGGCGTACAGCCCTGGGAGGTGGGAAGCACTGGGCTGGGACCACCTCCCTGTCCTGCCTGGACCTTCCTCCCATAGATGTGCCCGACTGCTTCTTATACCCATTTAACTTTTGCCCACCACATCCTGCTGCAAGGAGTCTCACGCTTTGCATGCTGTGTGGAAAAAAGTGTTTGACTCTACATTTTAACCCTTCCCTGACAGCGTAAGCTGGGGTGATGGCTCAGTCCCTTGAAAGCAGTTGTCCCCTGTCCACGTCCCCATCCCCGAGTCCCCGGCAGTGGCACAGCCCCATGGCACAGCCCTCCCGCCTTCCCGATTGCAAGATGAAGGGTGTTAGCAGATTGAATCCCCCCCCCAGGAAGCTGTTGCAGATAAAACGCCAGCAGGACACGTGTTTGAAACGAAGTGTGGGCAGAAACATTTCCCTGAATCATGACCCAAATTCCCAGACACCGATTCTTTGATTATGCAGTAAGAAGCTAATAGATCTTTTCGGCTACCATCGTAAAAGGGATATGACTTCCTAGGCTTTAGCAGAACATTGCCCCGGGTAGAGAGCTGAAATGTAAAACCCAATGAGATAAATGTAGATTTAAGCTCTAGTCATCTCTTCCCAGAGCCCATGCGCTGCCAGGTCCTTCAGGCAGCACCTCCCCAACCCCACGGCTTTCACCAGAGACTCCAAAAATGACTCAGACTGGGTCAGGTTGTGTTGGCTCTTCACTAAGACTTCCCAAAGCCATAAGGAAAAACTTTATAAAAGAGACATACATCTCCAGATGCCTTCTGGAGAGAAAATTGCCATTTGCCAGCTTGTTCTGCAGGCTACCACCACCAACATAGACAATGTTGCCTTGGCAGATAGCTCAGCACAGACCCATCCAATAATCTTTATATATTTCCCTCCCTAAGCGCCTGCCAAAACACACCATGGACTAATGCAACGGCAGAGACATGTGGTATAAATTACGGAATACGGCCGTGCAAAGAATTTCTGTGAGGAATAAATTAAAGTGTTCGATCACAAAATCGGTAGCAGAAGGAGAGAGAAATTAAGTAGTAAGAGCAAAGCAGAGAGGAGATGTTTTAATCTTGGGTTTTAAATGAGCTGGGGTGCTCCAGAAGGCTCTTCCAGATGGTGGGGACTGCAGAGGAGAAGGCTCTTGAAGCATGATGAAGAGAGGGAGGAGAGAGCAGGGTGGTGTTGGCTGAAAGCGGTCAGGAAAGGCAAGGCTCATGACGGGTCTCCCTATGTGAGGGCCAGCGGGGTATTCCATGTGCACCCGGTGAGCACCACAAGCCAAGGCAGATGAAGCCCACCTGCTTTCTGGGAGGGGAGAGGTGCCTCTGGGTAAGCCAAGGGGAGGAGAAGCAGCCAGCGGTGAGGAGAGGGTGTCTCACCACGCCGGGGTGAAATCTCGCTCTTCTTCCAGGGAGAAGAAATCACAACCACCTACTTTGAGCAGTCCGTGGTCTGGGTGCCTGGGGAAAAGCCCATTCAGAACAAGGAATTCCTGAAGAGCTCCAAAATTTTTGACATCTGCAGAAATGTGACCATCTACTGGATTCACCCCACGCCGATAGCAGGTACCATCAGCCATCTCTTCTCCAAAGTGCTCTAAGCGCCCTTGCCAGGAGCAGCCCTGCCACCCACCCGTGTCCCCCCCTGCCATGTCCCCCACTGCGACATGGTGGGAACCCATTTTGACAGCCTCCTCGAACGTCTCAGACGTGACCACAACGTTGGCCATGATCACGAGAGAGCATGGCCAATGTAATAGCAGGGGCTGAAGTTTCTCTCTGCAAAGCACTTGTCTCTGCTGGCTCCCCACTGCCCTGCAATTTGCAGAGTGGCCACCCTCCTCATAACAAGGCCAAAAAAAAAAAACACCAAACAAAAAACCCAAGCCTCTTTGTACCTGCAAAGAAGCCAGCAGTGCTGGAAACTGGGACACCTAAATTCTCATCACCACTTGAACATCAGAGCATGAGCAGACATCTGCATCTAAATCACACAACGGGGTTGCCACCTCCAGCTGCTCACTACACAGCCCTTGCAGAGGTTGCGGCCTCTGAGATCCGCCGGCATAATTACCCTCTCTCTCTAACCCACTTCTATCTGAATGATCTAGTTTAAAAAAACCCTATGGAGAAGATCTCCTGTGCTCTGCAGCCACAGAGGTGCATCCCGTCCCCCACGGGTACCAGTCAGCTAATGGACATCAATAGTCCTAGGAGCAAGCGGGCATCAGAGATCCCCGATGCAGAAGGAGGCTGCTGTCCTCAGCTGCTGTCCCCTTGCTGCTTCCTCGGTCCCTGCTGTTAGACTCCATCTGCACTTGAGTTTCAGCAAAGGAAATTAATGTCACTGTGGGTCTCACCTAAGCCATGGGTGCTGCAGCTGGGGCTAATGTGCCCCAAATCGTGTCGCTTTGCTGAGGCTCTACAAATTCCCCTCACAGCAGCAGAGCCCACCATGAGGACATGCTTCTCTGCATCTGCAGCCCCATGCAGGGGATGCCAACACCACCCATGGGCACCCACCACCCATGGGCACGGGGAGGGGATGGCTCATGTCTTCTCTACCCTCTCCTCCCACTATATTATATCCTACAGCCCTTCTCCCATGCTTGCTAAGAGCATGAGGCAATGGAGTACAGCTCGTTTGCTGGTGGGCTTTTCTTATACCTTGGCACCAAATTTTGGTAGAGACATTAATGACTGCTGCTGCATTTGTCCCCCTGCTCCCTGGTTGTTGATAGCAATGTTTGGGCTCTTCCTGTAGCTCCTGAGCTGGCCAACCTTGAAGGGGCAGAAGAAGAAGACCCTGAGCTGCTTGTGGACAACCAGAGCTGGTTGGATGGGGGGAATGAACATGAGGTGGAGAAGGATGCGCAGCCAGGGCCCAAGCGTCGGGCACGGCAGCTCACCGAGGAGGACCTGCCCGTCAATGACTACGTGAGTGCAGGGAATCGCACCCTGGGGTGCCCTGACCATGGTCCCGGGGTGTCCTGGCTGTGCTCCTAGGGTGTCCTGGTTATGTTCCTGGGGTGTACTGGTTGCGTTCCTGCGGTGCCCTTGCTGTGCTCCTTGGGATGTCCTGTCCATGCTTTCGGAGTGCCCTGTCCACGCTCCTTGGGTGCCCTGTCCATGTCCCTAGGGTGTCTTGGCCATGTTCCTGGGGTGCCTCAGCCACACACCCCCCTCGCTGCGCTGACGCTGTCTCTTCCTGGCAGTCGGAGAACGGGCTGGAGTTCCACCCTTTGTGGGATGAGCGAGGTTACTGCTGTGCCCAGTGCCGCCGTGCCAACCGCTACTGCCGGCGGGGCTGCGCAAAACCCCTCCTGGGTTACTACCCCTACCCCTACTGCTACCAGGGTGGGAGGGTCATCTGCCGAATCATCATGCCCTGCAACTGGTGGATTGCACGGATGCTGGGCAGGGTGTAGCACCCACCGTGCAGCACCCAGCACTTGGGTGCTGCCCCATGCCCGCCTGCCACATCGCCACCCATCCGGATGCATCCTGAACGTACCCGACACGCAGGTCGTTACCTGCTTGATTGACGGTGAGCGCGCAAGCCGGTCGACCGCAGCACCCTCACCGTACACCCACCTCCTGTCCCCCCCGGCATCCTGCACTGCTCCCGCGGGGCTGGGGAAGGCCGTGCTCGAGTGCATCGTCGCCACGCTGAGCAGCAAGAGGTAAACAATAAATGTCTTGTATGAGCGATTGCAAAGAAAATGGAAAGTCATTTAGTCTCAGTCTGTGATGCTTAATGGGTCTGAGAAATGATCTAATTGCTCAGCTGCCTCGTCATGAGCACCCATAACTCAGGTACTGGGACTGCCGGCGCTCGCCTCGCTGGGAACGTGCAGAGGTCCCTAATTTGCTCCCTAACGGCGCTGGCAGTTGTTCAGCACGTCCCAATCCTCTGTTCCAGCATGCTCAGATGTGTTTGGTAGTCATTAGTGACAGCTCAGGGGTGCCACCAGTCCCCTCAGGAGGGATGTGCGGCATGGCAGTGTGCAGGCAAGGCAAAGGTGGGAGCGGGCATAAGGAGACCCCCGGGAAACCGGGCGGCCAAAACCAGAGGGAGCAGAGGTGCGGAGGACCCCAAGTGCCATCAGCTGTCCCCAGCTCTGTAACCACCAATAAATGTGCAAAACTTGAGCTGCAGGAGGGAAAAACTAAGTCCTTGACACTGCAGGCACCCTGAGCAGGACACTGCCTGCAGCAGTGCTGAGGGCTGATGGCCAAAATCCCCGTGCAGTCCCCGTGCAGCCTTCCTCTGCTCTTGGCCTCGGTGCTCACGCCAGACCCCAGGTTCCAGCTTTCATCCCAGGGAGCCAGCTGCTGCCAAGGAGCTTGGACATCATGCGGGCATCGCCGGCAAAACCCTCTCGGTGTCACCAAGGGAGTAGGCGCTGCCACAGCCGGTGCTTTCCAGGGAAACGCC